GTTACTTATCTCCCGGAGAGTTGAAGATTATGGAGGAGGTATCCTTACAGAGTGAACGTTTGGAGCATGTACGGGATATTTTCATTTTTTGCTGCTACACTGGTTTGGCCTATGCAGATGTCTCTAAGTTGAGCAAAGCACATATTGAGCTTGGAGAGGATGGGATAACGTGGATAAAGCTGAATCGGACCAAAACAAAATCCCGTTCAGTAATACCATTATTACCAAGAGCAAGAGAAATATTGGAAAAATACAGTGACTATGCCCAGACAAACCGGGAAAAGAAGCTACTGCCAGTTATTTCTAACCAGAACCTGAACAAGTATTTGAAAGAGATAGCTACTGCCTGCGGGGTGCCTAAAAGGGTGTCTATGCACTTAGCCCGGCACACTTTCGCTACTACTATCACTCTGGGGAGAGGGGTGGATATTATGACTGTCAGCAAGATGCTTGGTCATAAAAACCTGCGTACCACCCAGATTTATTCAAAGGTTACTGAGCTAAAAATAGCTGATGATATGAAAAAATTGATGTAGAATTCAGGGATAGGCAACTTAGTCTATCCCTTCTTTATTACCCAACAACTCCTATTAAATTAAACACGCAAATCCGTAGCGTCTTGAAAAAATTGTTTGAAAATTGTAAGTTTGATTGAGAAAAAATATTAATGCCCTTATTGACGGTTATCTTATTAAATAAAGGCATAACTTAATTTATAAAACATTAGAATGACCTTTCTACCAAAAAAAGATGAAAAGTTAGATTGGCACGCTTTAATAAGTGGATACGGAGGATTACTAGTATCTGTTGTAAGTCTAGTTATAGCCCTGAGCGCACTGAATGCTGTAACGGAAGTCAAAGGCATGAATACATTACAATCAACAGCACAGAATCAAATCAGTGAATTAAAAAGCGTTGTTACTCAACAAAAGGAAATGATCTCAAATCTGATCCATGTTGATTCACAACTCGTTGCTTTGAACAACAACTCTAACAAAACGACTGATGCGTTGAGTAAGCAATTAACTGAATTAGCTCAACTGCTAAAAATTCAAGAAAAGCAAAACTTAACAATGCAGGGGATTTTCACAGTTCAGAACAAAGAGCATTTGGCGGGGGTTAATTTCAGGGAGCAAAAGCATTATGCAGATAGCGTGAAATTACAAATGGCCTTTGATACTATCGTGGATTTTGAGAATCGTGTTTTTGAAGTGTTTCATCATGCTTATGCATTCGGCATGTATAATTTATTAGATCAAACGTGGAATGATGGAGACATGAGACGTCATCTCTCAAAAATGCAATCAATGCTAAATGGGCAACTTGAAAATTCCTATTTATATACGGGAAATAATTTCTACCGATCATGGAGGGGGTTACATGATTGGATAAGTCAATATTTTTCACAACAAAAAAACTATTGGGTTTCACGAAACATTAGCGTCTTTACGCCTGCTCAGAAAGAAATCTTTCAAAAGGAGTTTGTAGAAAAATATTTGAAATTCATAAATGCAAGTGAAAAAATGGTTAGTGATAGCAGGATACGCTCTATTTTTTAACAACTAACAAATTAATAATTATGCTGATTGGGCCAGACTTCTAATTACTTGTAGACATGTTGGATTCTTCCTTCGCCCATTTAGATAATTCTTACACGTACTGTAAGGTAGGCCAGCAGCTTTAGCAGCTAGTTTCACACTTGTATATTCCTTCCCAGTACAAATATCAATTACTTTCTTACTGGTACATTCAGCTGCATAGCATAGGCCATGTTTATAGGCGTGGACAGTGTTCTCGCTTTGGGTAGACCACTCCAGATTACTTAAACTGAAGTCCAGCTTATTCCCGTTAATGTGGTTGACACAGGGTTTATTTTCTGGATTTGGAATGAAGCATTGGGCGAGTAACCTATGTAGGAGGAAGGTTTTGGTTTTTCCGGCTTGTGTTAGCCTCACAGAATAGTATCCTGCTCTGTCTATTCTTTTGCTCAAAATCTTTCCGGGATTCTTTTTGTGCTGACTAATGATTTCACCAGTATTTAGTAACAGATATAATCCATCTAAAATTGGTGTTGGGGTAATAGGAGAAAATTGACTAATGTCCATTGCAAAAATTTATTAATTTAATGGTTTGAAAGGAAGATATCTGGTGGCGTGAAAAGAAATGCGATTAGATTTAGGGGAACAAATTCAGCGTTTAGTTTACGCTATTCAACCTAATTGCTATAATAAATTCAACCAAATGGCACAATATAAAGGTACAACAATTGTGCGATATTATAGAATAATACTGTATGTTAAAAGCAATGAAAGCCATGGCAGGAGAGGATCTCGGCTGAATTACAAATGATAAAAATGAACAATCAACAAACGATTCCATTCACTCTTAGTAATACTGCAATTGATTACTTTGAATTAAGGCCCGAATATTTTTCTTTGCCGGGCGCCATCGTTGAAAAACACTTGCTGGGACTAAGTCCGGGGGAATATATAAAAGACATTCCTGAGCTGACAATTGACGATGACGTCGTTGAAACCATTGTTTTTAATTTTCAGGTCGGGTCAGGGAAAAGCACTTTTTTTTATGACCAAATAGAAAAATATGCTCGGAAGGGTTTCATAATTATCGTTTGTAGTCCATTTAAGAAACTTGTTAGTAAGGACTACGATTATTTGCAGAATAGGCTAAATACCCTGTATGAAAATGGGTCCGGAATATCAGGAAATAAGGCTGCAGTCTGTAACTATTCACAGCTTTTTAGCAGTGACACATATGGCTCTGATTCACCAATAATTCAAGCGAATTTGTTTCGTGTTCATATAATGACTATAAACTGCTTTTTGGGTAATCCGGGGGATAGTGCTTTTGAACAGAATTTTTATAAAACAGACTATATAAACAATCTTTTTGAGGCGGCAAATGACAAAAACGTTGTTCTTTTTATTGATGAAATACATGCGTCCATTGAGAATTTTAGGACTGAATACTTTCCTAAGTTACTTAAATGGAAAGGCAGGATTAGGAAAATATTTGTGGCCAGCGCTACATATACTCCCTCTGTTATCCCCGCTTTGAATCTACTATCATTGTTGACGGATAAAAGACTTAATATTTTAGAAGCAATTCGGAGTAAGTCATTAATTCAGGCAAAAATTGGTCTGAATATATTAGGTAAACCGTATAGTACTAATTATGCAGAGATTTTAAAGGCGGTAGGTGAGAAAGTAATAAGTAGCAACACTTTTCCCGTTAATATAATTACAGCTACAAAGGCAATGGCAGAACGTATCGCTCCTTACTGCTTTAATGAGGGGAATATTATTACGGAAAATTCTGAATTGAGTCCAGTTTACAATAGAAAGAGCGTTAATCTTCTTACCAGCGATACAGAAATAGATTATCAAATTGGACAAAATAATATTGGAACAACGTTCAAGACGGGTGTAGACATTAATGATCCAAATAGTCTATTAATAGTTGTTTTTCCATGTGTCCAAAGAAATCAATTTGCCTATGGCATTTATAATGACGGAATTTCCTCTATTATACAGTCAATTGGTAGAATGCGCAGAGGCGGAAGAATAGAATTATTTATATACGAACCCCAATTTGAAATTGGTAATGAAAGCAAGAGTTCGAAGTATTTCGGCATCCAAAAGACTAAGGAAGAGTACTGTTGTTTAAATGATGAATATAAGTTAGCTATTGAAAAGTACAAAGATATTTTGAATACGATTTCGAAAGAAGTGCATGTAATGGAAATCGAACTGGAAATTTCTGCAAATCCTACGGGGACTGGTGAGGCAAAAGAAAACTTTGGTTTTTGGTATCCAAATGTTCATGAATTTCTCTTAAGGGACAGGAGAGGCAAACTTGTATACGAAAAGGCCTCATTCGGTAAAGATATTTCAAGTTATGTATTATGGGCTTGTATCAATGACCAATTCTTAAATGCACAATTGGCTGAAATAAGTTATTATAAGCAGTCAGAACTGGTCATCAATATCAATGTCAATAATTTTCAAGCGCAGTTTGAACAGTTGATGGAAATGCACAAACCTGAATTGGGAAGTACCACATTTCGACGTGTGGTTGACAATCTTGATAAATATTTCAATACCACGATTGACAAAAATGGAGATGTTGTAAAGTTGCTTTTTCGAATAGAAGGAGATAAAACACAGTATAGCCTCTCCGGGCTACTCAAAAAGAAGATTGGGTATGCAAAAAAGTTTGCTAATTTACTTTTGGCGAGTTATACGGGAATTGATAAGGAGCTCGAAAAATATAGCTATTTTCTGAATAACATTGAGCAGGCGGCTCAAGCTTCCGGAACCTCTTCTTTGGCTGACAGTTATATAGGCTTGAGGGTACTAAAAAATGAGTTTTTGGGAATAGTTAATGGGCAAATAAAAGTAGATTCTAATGGCCAGTATATTCCTGCAAATCTAATTTTTCCCGTTGGATTCGTGGAAAAGGCCTATAAGACATTGTTAACGGTTATAAAACGTGACATTATAATTCGGTTGAAGGTGGTAAGTTTTATGCAACAGCCAGCGGAATCCCAAGTTCCTAAAGCCTTAAAGAATCTTTTCCTGAACGTAACGAAAGATCGAAAGACTATCAGTAAAAAAACCTACTATAAACTGGGAGAACCTGCTATAAAAGAGCCTGATTTTCTACAAAGAAAAACCTCTTTGATTTAATAAATCTTGCAAAACTTAGTGGCGATCTTTAAAACCCTTAGAAGAAATACTAGAATTTGCAAGATTTTGATTGCATGACTTATTATTCTATCCCGGTTACTGAGCCCTTCATATAAGTTTTTCTCCAAGAGGCAGGAAGGAGTAACATAGCTCCTTTTGACCAATAAGGGATTATGCTATTTATAGTACTACCTCCCAGAAGAAACCAAAGGCCGCAATATATAACAAAAAAATTTTTTATTTTTTTCAAGCGCTTTATACATAAGGGCTAAACGCTCTTCTCAAAAGGTGCCCCACCCTCACTATGTTATGCCAGCTACCCCCATCCTTAGGTAAAACTTCAGGATTGGAAACAGCAGGTGTCATTTATAACCTCATTTTTAATTAATTAAAACAATTACAATGGTTACAGTAACAGGGTACGCCGTGCGTACAGCAAAGGATGGTCATTCATTTATTACTTTGGAACTTAATGGAGGTCTGGAGTTCGTGCAGTCTATGGAGACAGGGAATTTTTACGCAACCACACGCAAATGTAGTATGCCATGCACGTTTGGGGAACCATTGGCTAAAACAATGGTTGGAGTATCTCTTCCGGGAGAAGTAGTAAGGGTGCAAGCTGAGCCTTACGAGTACACCATTAAGGAAACCGGGGAGGTTATTACGCTGAACTACAGTTATGAGTACCAGCCAGAAACTGAAAAGCAGTCCGTTCCCAAATTGGAAATGGTGGAACAGTAGTAGATGCTCCACATTAAAGAAAGGCAATGCTCAATTTGGGTGTTGCCTTTTTCTTTTTAACCTATTAAGTTTTTTAACCTGTAAAATTTAAAGCTATGCAATTACAGACTGCCTCCAGAAAGAGAGCTAAAATTAAGCTGGCAATTCAGGGACCAGCTTCATCTGGAAAAACCTATAGCGCCCTGCTGCTGGCTTATGGCCTATGTGGAAACTGGGAAAAAATTGGATTAATTGATACAGAGAACAATTCTGCTGATTTATATGACCATCTGGGACCTTTTAAAGTCCTGTCTTTAGGAATGCCTTTTTCTCCGGAAAGATATATTGAGGCAATCAAAACTTGTGAAAAAGAGGGAATGGAGGTAATAATAATTGATAGCATATCGCATGAATGGGATGCTGTTGGAGGAATACTAGCTGCTCATAGTTCTATGACTGGCAATAGCTACCTGAACTGGAATAAATTGACTCCAAAACATAGCTCCTTTGTTCAGCATATTCTGCAAAGTCCTACCCACACTATATGCACTATAAGGTCTAAAGTGGATTATATATTAACCGAAAAAAATGGAAAGCAGGTCCCCGAAAAAGTAGGTATGAAGGGAGTAACAAGAGACGGAATGGATTATGAGTTTACCATCGTTTTTGAGCTAAATATGAGCAATGCTGCTATAGCCTCCAAGGATAGGACCTTTCTTTTCTTTAAAAAGCCTGAGTTTGTCATCACACCGGAAACTGGAAAGATTATTTCAGCTTGGTGTAATGGTCCAAATACTGATATCCCGGAAGAGACAAATGATATTGCGGTCCAAAGGCTTAATTCCTGTAAGTCTTTGGGCGAGCTTTTAGTTCTGTATCATTCTGTTCCTACCCTCCAAGAAAAATTAGCTCTGGACTTCACAAAAAAGAAGCAGGAATTAACACCGCCAATAAAAACAGATTTACCCACAAAAAACTTTTCAACTAATGGAAGCACTAAAAACTAATAATACCGGCCTGTTAGTGGTTGGAATAGCAGGGTCAAAGGAGCAGGTGGTCCCAATTTCAACCCAAAAGCCCTTTATAGAGGCAAATACGATTGAGGCTACTTTGACAGAAATAAAGGAACAGCATATAATCCCGGTTTTTTGCAAGGATAATGAGCCTGTAATTAGCCATCACGACTTCATAAATGCCACTTGGGATGCAGTAACTGAATATTTTGACGAAGAAACCGTTTTCAAACCTTCTATAAGGCTTTCGCACCCGGTGAAGGGAAGAATCCCGGAGGCCAAACAGAAGCCAGCTATTGAGCTATTAGACCACGAGAAAACCCTTTATTATGAAAGGATGGCATTTGTCATTGAAATTCCTACAATCCATGCTGAAATCGACAGGAATTCCCTTTCGCTTTGTGTTGGGGGTGTAAAGTCGTACCATTTGGATAACCTGAATGGAAAAAAGGGAAGCGATGAACACTTTAAGGTATTTATAGGCTATCAAAACCGGGTATGCACTAATCTCTGTGTTTGGTCCGATGGTTATGTGGGAGACATCAGGGCAAACAGCTTGGACCAGCTAAATGGGGCTATCCAGACCCTGCTAAATAGCTACAATGCTGACTTCCACCTTCAGGAAATGCGACAGTTGAGCAAGTTGGTTATTACTGAAAGTCAGTTTGCACATCTTTTAGGAAGAGCCAGAATATATCAGCATTTACCTCCGGGAGAAAAAGATAAACTCCCAGCTCTATTATTTGGTGATAATCAGATTGGGACCATCTGTAAGGATTACTACCGGGATAACAGCTTTTGCAGGGATGCTGATGGAAACATTAACCTCTGGAAGCTCTACAACCTGTTCACCGGGGCCAATAAAAGCAGTTACATAGACTCCTTTTTGGAGAGAGGGGTAAATGCCTACCAGTTTATAGAACAGATAAGGTTTGGACTTGAAGGGAAAGCCAGCAGTTGGTATTTAAATTAAAAATATGCCCTGCTCTAAAAAGGAGTGGGGCATTAATCATTTTTATGGAACCACAGTTACATTTTCAGTACTACCACAGCAATGCGCTGTTGCTGATAAATAAAACCGGACAAATCAGGATTCTTTACACTCCTTTCAGGGTGTTGTGTATAATAGCAGTTGACAGTATTTTCTTGAATTCTTGGGTATACGTTGGTGAGGTATGTTCAGACGGTCAAGATAAACTCTATTTTGTTATCGAGGGAGTGCCTTATTTATTTAGGCACTTCTATCTGCCCATAAAGTTCTAATGGCTAAACCAGCCGGGTGTTATGCTGTATTTTCTTTACTGCCAAACAACTCTTACCTTCTTATGGCGGGTTTCTTTTGAGATGGTTTTGCACCCAAACTTAAAAACCAATGAAAAGAAATATATTAAAAAGAGCAATCTTTTTTTTGTAAAAATAAACTTTTACCATACATTAGAATACTACGTCAATTCCCTATAAAATCTGGCGACCTTTTTGAACCATTTAATTACTAATTGTTTTTCAATCAAAAACGAGAAATGCTTTGCGATAAGACCAAAAGCGAGTTTTATGAGGTGAGCTTTTATTGGTAATAGTATAGACTTACTAGGAGAAGATGATTATCTCATTTCTGTTTTTTGATTATCTGGATAGTATTTATTTCTTTGATGCAAAATCTATCAAATGTCTCAACTCCTATCTGATATAATAACCTTGATTTTAACTATATCTACAGGTTTTTTTGCGCTTTACGGTATAAAAAATAATTACAGAGATTCCCAAAACAATATAACCCGAGCAGGTAAAATTGCCATTTGGGGTGGAGCTGTTTCGATATTATTAAACTTAATGAATTCAGCCATTAAGAATTTCATTGATAAGGATAAGGCAATCGCGGAAAATCGGAGAATTAACGATCAGCTCGAAAATCAAAAACAGATATTAGTAAACATTGGGTCAACTTTAAACGAGGTACGTAATGTTCAGGATAAACTTTCGAAAAGCTTTGAGCTGCAGACTGAGGAATTGGAGGTCGCAGGTAAATCTTTGAATAAGCAAGAACTATCGCTTGCTCAGCAGCATATCGCTGTAGAAAACATTGAAAAAGTATTGCAGACATTTGATCCCAATAATTTGAGCATAACTATGAGCATTCTTATACCAATTGAGCATTCAGTGAGTCTCAAAAGACTGTATGACTCTGCCAGAAGCCATCCTAGAATTGGCGGTTCAGTTTTTATAGAGGATATCGAAGAATTTTTGCAAGAAGATGACAATAAAGATGATATTGTTAACTGTTTTACCAACTTAGATATTCGTCTCAATTTCTTTAGTCGAGGAAATAATAGTACGACCGGTGATCTTAGCTTTTTAGTAGAATCAAAAGGCATTTCAATTAATGAGAACGAATATGAGTACCAATATAGAAATAGGCTTCCTTATGTTAAGTTATATACACAAGAAAACAGCTTTTTGCTGTTTGTCAATCAACAAATGTGTAGGCTTTTAATCCAAACTAAGAGTGGTTTTTGTAATTTAAAAGATATTCTCAGCTCAAACCTGCAAGTTGAATTTCAACATGGATTAAATTCTTTTGAGAAGAAAATATTAACTACGAATTTTTATAGAAAAGGAACAATAAATACACTTTTTGTAGCTAATCGATTTGTGACAAGAGAACTTTATGGTGATAAAGATTTTTCCGGTGATTGGATGGGCTTTAATAAAAGATATGATTCAAAAGTCAGCATAGGTAAAGACTTTAAGTGATATCGCGCATTAATATTAGTAAACTTCGAAATTATTAATAAGACACTTACTTACAGCTATTTGGTAATTGTCTTGTTTCGTACTATAAACTTCTCACCGCTATCAAAAAAGCAAAAGTCTAAGACTAAGTGTGAAAGTATACCGACAAAATGCTATTTTTTGTTTCTACTCAGATTTTTGAAGTCGAATAATTCGCTGGTTGAAACTTCTAAGCCTTCGGCTAGAGCATTGGCTGTCGAAATAGTAGGATTGGATACACCTCGTTCTATCTTGGAAAGCTGCGAATATTCCATGTCTATTTGGAGGGCAAACTTCCTCATGGATAAGCCTTTAGCAAGCCTTACTTTTCTCACCTGAAGCCCGAAGGATTTGCAGAATTCTTTGTCGTACATGTAATTCACATGTACAAAGTCAGTTTTAGTCAGAATTTTAATGGCGTCATGTATGACGCCTTTTTTATAATTTTAAAAGAAAATTTATGAACTCAACTCTTTGTTCGGTATTAGTAACATGTCTTTTTGTTTTTGGGTGTTCTCAAAAAGAGCCTGGCATTGACGTTATTTCAGATGAGAACTGTAATAAACTGCTTGTTAGGGACACCAATGGGGTTTACGCCCAGAACTGTTTTGGTATAACACGAATTCCTATCATAGGCACTTTGATCACTAATTCATTTTATAGATTGTCGAACGAACGTTGGACTGTATCTCATGATAGCGGAGAACGTTTCAAACAGACTATAATGCTTAATAAAGAAGATAATATTCAAGTTACAGTGAATAACCCACCAGATCCCAATATTATAAGTCAGGTTGAATTTTTAGCCCCTGTGGTTGAGGACAAAAACGACGCCATTATGAAATCTACAATAGATTTTTTAATTAAAGAAGAGGGATTTACTTATAAAAGAACAAGATTAAAGGATGGTAGTGATATATTGATTAAAAAGGAGGGTAAATTGTATGGAGTCTGGGATGTTTTTACTTATAGTGATGGTACAATTCAAATGATGATGTTTAGACCTATGGTTGCTAGGGAACATCCATTCGAGTAGTCGCTTTTATGCTCTATAAAGACCCCCACCTGGTTTAGGTTTACCTCTTAAATGATTCTCCAATGCCTCTATTATGGCTTCCTGAGCCCTTTGGTTATGTAATTCGCCTGATATAAGTTTCCATGTCCATGGGAAATCTTTGAGGGCCCTACGCTCAATTATGGGTCTATTCGTAGAGAATACCAACTCCTTATTTTTGGCAATCACTTTATAGTGCTCTTCTCCTATTCCTTTAAGAGTCTGCAGGACTTTCAGCCGCCTATTTATGCCCTCAATCCGTACAATGATGAGAAAGGGGAGAGGCTCATATTTAGGGTATTCGTGAATAGGCATTGCAGGTTATTTACTGCAAAATACTAATAAAATTAGCAATTTCAATGCTTTTCGCGAGGCACTAGCATTACTTCAGTTAAAATGGTATCATTGGGAATTTCATATTCGCTCATAATAACTCGCCCCAGACACTTAATTTCATACGGCAAGCGTGAATTTCTATTATGTGAAGTTGATTGTAAGTCGGCCAGTTTAGAAAATTTCACTATAACTGGTAACACGGAAATGTGAAAGTAATCATCTTTATACTTTTCAATTATCTTTTCATAAAACCCGGTCATCCGAAACTCTTGGCTTTCATTACGCAATCGAATACTGACATTTTTATAAAAATTCTGTATTTGCAGTCTAAGTTCAGAAGTATAACTTAATAAGGCAATTCCGGTCTTCAAATTTTGAGACAAACTTGAAACTATGGATTTTGGTTCTACGCCATCTGTAAAAACGCTGTTAGAATGAACAAATATTGTCATTATTTGAGCCGTATCAAAAGCCTTTCTGATAAGATAGCCAGTATCAGTAATGTCATTAACTTGGCCCATTGTCAATTGGGTTGACAATGACAATAAAAAGATGAACATGAATTCCCTCCTGCTAATCATATAATACCATTCAAGTGATGAGAAAAAAACAAATTAAATATTTGTACGTGATTATAAGGCAAGCCAGAAATTATAACCTTTTCGAGTTCAATGCAAGCTTGTTCTGCTGTAAAATTAGTATGATTTGGAAAAAATTGAAGCATTATGTTTGATACTTTATCCGCAATCAATCCTTGCTCTTTGTTGAATGGAGAATAAGATAGAAACAATATTTGTCTCCTGTCAAAAATTGGATGAACAGGGAAAAGTTGTGGAGTCTTATTCTGGTAATCGCAATAACAAAAACCAATATATGGGATCAACAAACTCAAATAAATTGAAAAACCTTGTGTAGAAGATATTGAAAATTGCGCACTGATAGAAGGCTCTTCGTGTTCATAACTAAAATCACGGACATTAATTAGCGGGATTTTGTTCTGAATTTCTTTCAGTGCAATTTGCCATTTAGGAATAATTAAAGATTTACCAGTGATTGTGTCATCAAAACGCCTGCTCTGAGAGGAAAAAGGCAAGGAAGCACTTTCGCCGAACGAATAGTACAACCCTGCCTTTTCAATTAATTCATTAATTCCCATCCCCGAATTTAATTATTTATAAGCAATTACCTGTTCGGTCGTAAACTGCAACCCGGGTAGAAACATTAGGGTCTAACAAAGCTCTTACCTTTGAGCCGGGTATAAGGGCAGCTAAAATTCCTCCAAATTGGGCCCTATAAGTACTCGGCGCTAAAGCATTGTAGGCTGGGTTTGGAGCCAAAATAAAAGTATTCGTAGCTGCCCAATCAGCTGCAAGCCTTGTTAAAACACTATAAGCGAAAGGAGAATATGAATATGCGTATACCCCTTCAGCAGCCATATATACCCTTTTTATATCACCGTCAACTACAAGTTGATTTAAAACAGGTAAGCTCTGATAAATATCCATAGGACTTTGTCCAGCTAATGATGGAGGCATGAAGGCTATATTTGAAGACGGCTGTGGAGTGTTAATTGATGTTTCAAGCACGTAATTTTGAACGTTAACATAAGCATCAAATTCATTTATTTGCGTGCCGGAAGTAAATTTAAGCCCTTGTATATTTAAAGCAAATGAAGAACCGTCGCTCGTAATACGAGTGAAATTGTAAAATGTAGAGCCGCATAATTTGTCAGGCTGACCTGCAAAAGGGTCGGTGTTTGCAATACCGCCACCGCAGTCAACTTTATAGGTCATCCCGCTTCGGCTGTTTAAACGTGTAGTGTTGCAATCATCATCCCCGTCGCAGGTTGTGAAAAGATATACCTCATCTACCAACTGGCCATTTATATATGTTTGCCAGAACCAATCAGTACATCCTTCAACTCGTTGTCCTGAACTTGTTTTAGACTTTTCTTTACTTTTGTTTTTTAGGACTGAAATAGATGTTACTTCTCCGTTGGTGTAAGTGTTTTCCTGTAAGAATTTGTCATCAAAGCGTTGAAATGTAATCGTTCCCGAAAAGTTTGATTGAGTATTGTCATATAAACTAAACAAAGCCTTCTCTATCGTATTACCAGTCAACCTCTTTTCAGACGCATCAGTGCAAATCGTTCCAAGTGTTGTCTTCAAATTGCGGTCAAGGACAAATAAACCTTTCCTAGCATCAACCCCCTTTTTGGGGATATCTGCAATAATAATGGTCAATCCATTGTCCAACTTTCTTTGAACAATATTGTTCCAAGAAATAGACAATTTGTTGGTGTCAATAGAAAGTCGTGATTTTAATGACTGTGTCTCTTTTTTAGTGCTCTCAATCCAGGAGTTCACACTTTTAATAATAGTAGAATCAACTGCTAGTACTGTCTGAAGTTCTGACCCGGACTTTTTACAGGAAAAAATTCCAATTAAAAAGAAAACAAGAACTACGAGAGTGATTTTTTTCATAAAAAAAGTTTAAGTTTTGAAAATGTGTCAAGCGTAAATTCCTTATGACCATTAAAATGATGGAAATATCTACGTTTGATAACAATTCGAAACTAAAGTCTCTTCGCAAATCGGCAAGGGGAAAATCCTCATTAATAAATGTTGTTTTCCTCAGATTGTAATGAGAAAAAAACATTTACTATAAGATACATAGTTCATGTAGTAATGGGAAACTCCTATTATTTTTGCGTAGTTAATTAATAGAATAGCGCTGTTTGTAGCCGGAGATTACCCTCCGGCTTTTTTAATTTTAGTCTACAAAAGGACTCCAAGGATATTTTAAGAGTGCTATCTGACTGGCCATCCGTCCAGATATACTAGTTTGCAAAGATGGATGGACGATTTTATTTCCTCTATGGGAGATGAAGTAGATTTGATGGTCTGCAGCCTTCGAGACTTTCGAATTGGTCATATTTTGACCTCAACTCTTGGCAGTTTGAAAATTTAAAAATCTTTTTTACTATTGCAAAAAATGGAAAAAATGATCATCTTACAGGGCTTAACATCTGAATCTCTTCTCAAGGAGATAGACGCTATAATTGAAAAACGAATTACAGAAGCGCTTCAAAAACTGGAACCGCCTAAAAACATCAGATATCTTTCCCGCAAAGAAGTCTGTGACCAGCTAAAGATCAGCTTGACTACACTGCATTATTGGGCAAAGTATGGAATTGTAAAAAGACACAAGATTGGTAACCGGGTACTTTATAAGTCAAATGAGATTGAAGATGCACTCTCAGGAGAAAAATTAAAAGGAAGAAGGCAATTAAAATTAAGGAAGTAGTTTCCAGTGTATCACTTAAATCTTTACCTTTTTTGGTAAAGAGAAAGCAGCATAAAGTGTTTCTGTTGCCAAATTACTTGGAAAGAAACTGTCTGTGTTTCTCAAGATACTTGAGCATTCCCTTTGTTACTTCTCTAAGTTTCATTCTTGGATTTATACCAAGAATTGACAGATGAGCTAGATCTAATTTGTTGCTTAAAATTATTTTCCCTTCATCATCAAAACTTATTAAATACTTGTCGAATAGAGCGTCTAACGTTGGTGATAGCAGTATTCCATTTTCTGGATCTAATCGTTCATCGTCTGATGCATCTTTCCATGGTAAAATATGGGAGGCAATCAGGATATTGGATAATTCCAAAGCAGTAACAGCGCATTTATGCTCCCATTTGTCCAATACTTCTTGCCTATAATATCCTTGTCCTACTCTTGAAATTATTAGCCCGCTTCTTTCAGTTAAGTTGGGTTTAGTGTGTTTTTTAGATTTTGTCGAATTGTTTGCGTTAGGTAAATAAGTATTATTTGTAGATCTTTTCCCGACTTTCTCAGGTTTCCACTCGTAAATTTCTTTCAGCTCCGAATTTGTTTCATCGTAATCCAAATTGAAGCATATAAGATGTACGGGGTTTGAAGTATTAATGTCGTATTCTGAATATTGCAATCTTCCGCAATATTTAAATGGCTGTGTTTTGCCCTTTACTTTCTGCTCGATACGGGCAAAAAGGTTTATTTCAACTTCGCCATTTACTATCTTTTTTATTTGAGTTGAGTTGATATTTTGCCTGGGTTGGCTATCCCAATGGAAATAGTCACCCTCGAAATAGTCATTGAAATGAAATCTTTCTTCTTTGCCAGTTTTGACTAAATCGGTGAATAAAATAATTGAATTATATTTTTTCACGCTGAAGATGCCTTCTCGAACATTAGTCAAGTCAACTCCTATTATTTCAGATAAGTGTTTTTTATCATATTCTTCGCCAACTTTTATAAGATTATGAAGTGATGCCATATTGAATTTGATGGAAGTTGCAAAAGGGGTTATAAATGGGGGTGGAGAATTCTAATAATTGTCTCCTAATGAACCTATTATGAGTCAAGATTATTTAATAGTGATTTGGGTCGTATCAGTTACAATTATCTGAGGTTTGTCTTTATAAGACTTGATTTCACCTGTTATGCAAACTCGCTTTGATAAGAGGTATTCTTCGGGTTTATAACTGAACTTTTCCCTGTCATCTCCAAAAATCACAAAAGTGAATGGATTATTGGGATAGGTATCACCCATATTTACAAGTGTGGGCCGCCCATTAGCATTTTCCAAATACTTTGTTCCATAGACTGAATCGCAGACATTGACCTTTTCTCCAATATGTTTTCCTGCATCTTGAGCGGAGATCTTGGTCTGAGAAAAGCTAAAAATGGGGAGAAATGCTAAAAATGCTATGCATAAATGTTTTACCATGCCGATAGTTTTGGACAAATATAGATGATTAAAAAACGTCATTTTTATGGTGTTTTCACCATTATAATTTGAATATGTGGTCTTAATTTTAACAAGTTGATTGACAAAATAGCGCTATTTGGGGCCGGAGATTACCCTCCGGCTTTTTTATGCCAATTTTATTTGAAAACAACATATTTAATAATTGAAATGGAGAAAAGCTTGGAAACCTTGTAAATTGTAAAATTTTCTTTACTTTAAATTATGAAAGATAATTATGTTGTGCTTTTAGATAATTTGCGACAAGCAAAGGAAGAAAAATGGATAATCACACTATATAGGGGAGTAACTCTAAAGTTTGCATTTCAACAGTATAACCTTGAACCGAAGTATAATACCATTGAACAATTCGCTGAACGACTTTTCTTTTACGGCGAAAAGTCAAAATATTTTTGGAATGATCGAATTGGGTCAACACTGAATGGCCAAGAGAAATTTAAGATAAATGATACAACTGAGGCATTCTTTACTGTTATTTTTAAAGAAATTAATTCACTGATTTTTAATAGCAAATCCACTGAAACAGCTGTTTATTTTAAAAAAAATACTTTTGCTGTTTCTTTTTTTGAGAAACTTGGAAACTTGGCAAACTTTAATGCAGCAATAAGTCGAAAAGCGGACTCAGAGAAAAGCTTTATTAGGAATTATTATTTAACAATTCTTCATCAATTGGGTGAATCCAAATATAAGAATAAATCACACTTCATTTCTGCTTCTTCAGAGGAAAATATTACTGGTAAGTTTTCAAAAAAAAGTGGAATAGTGATAAACTTTTGGCAACTAAACTTTAATAAGCACATTGATATTTGTGAAGATCCTCATATTCCATTTTTCAAGGGAAAGCCGTACAAGAATCAAAGGGAGTTGTCTGTATTCACAGTAATTCTTCCTCATTTCATTTATTCATTTACATTCAAAGGTGAAATTTACAAGAACCCAGCTATTTATAATGTTGTTGATTTTACTTTAGTTGCCCTAACGGGTTTGGATGTCAAGCAAGATAATTTGGAAAACAAGTTGCACAATGACACCAATTATTCAGGAGGAGTATCAACCGACGGTAACACATTTTGGGAAATAGGCATATAGTTTAGATACTCCTAATAAAAGTCATTTGGTTGAAATGAGTAGATTATGAAATTTGGATGAAACAAAGAATTGGTAATTTTATGTAATAAGTAGTTAAGATTATTGCCAATTAAAAAGCCCCAGAAGGTAAATCCGGGGCCTTTGGAACGGATGTATATTAAATTTTCTGATCCTGGAGTCAGTTTTGCTCGCCGTAAACTGGTTCGTCTTCAAGGAAGGCCTCCAAGAGTTTCATTTTAGTGGTTCTGCCAAATGTGGAATCCAGAAAACCCAGCACTTTGTCTCTATCTTGAGAGAAGTTATACTTTACAATACAGTAGTTGTAATATTTCTCTTTTGTGAGTTCTCCACCATAGGCAAGATATTCCCTAATCGCCATTTCGTCTTCTTCAGTCTTTGCATAGTCGTTGGTTTCTAACATTAGAACCAGATAATTGTCGAATTGGTCATAAAGTAGCTTGTTAAGTGCTTCACCTGCCTTTGTGGCTTCAATTTCTTGTAAGCTTTTTTCCTTCAAATCCTTTAGGATTGTGTAGTCATTTGTAGCTGGTTCAAATCCTAAGTCCGTTCTTGTTGCCAAGTCAATATTATCTTCTTCAAGAATCATTTCTGTCAAAATGCTCAAATTTAAGTCAGTTGGCAAATGTTCAAATGAGTGAAGATTTTTTTTCCATTTGGAAAAAATTGCCAAATGTTTCTCAGCTACTTCTTTTTTTGAATACCTAGCGTAATTTGGGAGAACCCCTATCGAACTTGTAATAAACATCTGGTACAATTTTTCTTTAACCTGTTCTATATCTGATTTAGTACTTTTGCTTGTTATTGTTATCATTATCAATTATTTAAATGTTAGTGAGTTGTGCTGTTTCTTAGGTGATAATTGGTGAAAGGGCTACCAAATTAGTAGCCCCTTTTATTTAATAGTCTTTGTCTTAATCAAGCATACTTAAATCACCAGTTGTCAGTATGTGAAACAAGTAATTTTTACCATTTTCCATGTTTTTCTCGGCATCCTCCAAACTATATAGAAATCTTTTATATTTCTTTTGGTGCTTAAAATAATCTTTAGCAGATACTGCTCCAGCAATTTTTTGGAGTGTCAAATTATACATAGATGACCACTCTTTATTTGCTTCATTTAAGGTTTCCCTGTCGGTAATATCGCTGTCGAAAACTTGTTTAAGTGTATGTGTAAAAAAGTTGAAATCCTGTGATGAAATAAACTCTACTTTTAATAAACTGTGAGTTACAGATCCTAAAACAGCTCGAAGATTTATTTCTTGATGGCAATCCCAGACACTCACCTGTCTAATATTGTTCAAGCGTTGCTGATAATTACTTTTTTTAAATGCCCTCATAGAGCCAGATTGATTTGCTACCCAAAATTCCCAATCGTATTTATCAAAGAAATACCGCTTGCCAAAATCTAGAAAACGGGTGATCAGCTCCAGACAATGTGCCTCGGACCTAGTTATGCTCTGGTCCTGTTCGAGCGTAACTAATTCCTCGTACCATTCGGGTGAAAACTTCTTTGTTTTGGAATTTGGAGAAACTGCCTTTTTCATAATCGTTGTGTCAATTGTTTTAGTGGCTCTCGCCGTTGACAACCCGAAAATATGAAGGACCAATTTCTGATTTGGCTAACGGGTAACCGGTGGGTAACAGCTAGGTAACGTTACCTAAGGACTTCGTCTATTTCTTCTCTTTGGTCAGTTTTGTCAGTAGCGTTTCTGAAGATACTGGCTCCTTTACGACATGCTCCACTTTTTATCGGGCTTGCATTTATAGTAATAATCTTGCACATTTTTTCAATAGTAAACTTCTTGGTAGCAATTTTGGTTAGTATATAATAGATAACATTTTTATCCCAATTAAAATCTATAGTTTGCCCTGTCTGTTGCTCACTTTGACTATTGCTTTTATGGAAATTATAAAGTATAAATGCAAAATGTTTTCTTTGCTGATCAGAATAACTTCGGTTCATAATCGGTTGCAAATTCTCATCTTTCATTTTAAATAGATTCTCAAATGAACTTAAGGTCAAAGAGGTCATTGCCTTGTTTACTGCCTTAGTTAAGAGAGGAGTATCAATAGTATCTGATGTGAATAAATCTGAATACCAAAATATATCGCTGTATTTGTAGTGCAGCTTTAACATGATGCGATTGTAAAACTCTTCAATTAATCCGGTCACCTTGTTTGATGTTTCTTCTTTTTTCAAAACTTCAATGGATTTAGTAATCAGATATTGTGAAAACGCCACTATATTTTCTTTTTCTTTTATAGAGCCTGCAAACTCATTGGCATGTTCAATACGGCTAATTATTATTCTTTGTAAAAGGTCAAGATCAAAGGAATTCTCTAGCTGCCATTGAGAGTGACCTTTGGGCAATTTTAAATGTTTAGAATATTCCTCGGTAGTATGACTGTAAATGCAAAACTTGAACAAGTCTTTAGTCATCTCATATAAATATTCTTGACCCACCAGTTTTCCATAATACGGAATACCTTTCACTAAGAAATTACCTTCTTCTTGTGATGGCGAATAACCATCATTACGCATAAAGGCGATTAAATTTCTTTCCTTATCATATAAAGGATGATTTACGAATTCAAACTTCTTAATTTCATACCATTCGTTATTTAATGACCTGATATAGCTGAGGATTTGTTCCTCTAGATTGTAAAATGGCATAGTTGAAAATTTATAATATGGGATAATATTCTAGAGTGGTTTTAGTGACCGGGTAATGACTTTAAACCACTTAGCCTCCTTAGAAATCTTTTCGGTAGCTGAAATAAGCAGGGATTTGTCGTTTAAGTTGCTATGCTCTGATATTTCTGCCATAGGTGAGGGGGAAAGGGGTTGCGATTTAAATAATTCCTTGGAAGGTAAGTAAAGTAGGAAATAGAGCCAAAGGCAAAACAGAGGACGGCGAACATGTTAATAAGAACCGCGTAAGTGATTGATAATTAGGGCAGAGAGGAGTATTTGTAAAAGGTGACAATTTAAGGATCTAGTTTAAAAACCTGGAAAGTGGCAAATGGTGGTGGTCATCTAGCAATAGGTATAAAACCAAATGTTTCCAGTTGTATTAAAGCAATGCTATAAAAGGTTGTACCGCAATTTCTATATAATACTGCGACGGGTTGCTGCAGAAATTATTTACTTCAGGTTATTAAAATTTAATATATTTAAAATAGTGGAGAGGTATAACCCAAAGGCCATTTTCAAATGTGACTGAGGGTGGCGAAGCTATGCCTATAGTAAATGGTTAATTGGCCGAATATATATGCTTATACTGGAGTAATAGAAAACGAATTGTATTAGTAACAATCAAAAAAGCGAATAACCAAGGATTGATTAAGAGGGGCTTAAATTTAACTGTGACTCGCAACGAAATTTGACTATGGCTATTTATTTTCAATAATCTACTTGATGACAAGTATTACACCCGAACTGACTTCAGAACTTTTGAAGCATTTTAAAGACAAAACTAAAGTTGCATCATATCCTGCATATTCAGTTCATACGTTTAATGAGTTAATTCGACAGACAGCAAGGTTATCTTATTTAAATAAGGACTATCTTCTTTTTTATAGAGGACAGTCTTTTGATCACCAAAATAAAGTTGGTAGTTCGACATTTTATCCAAGTATTTATCGCCAGGATTATTTAACCCAGCGGGAAGTTATTTATCAGTTTGACATCCTTGAAAATGCTTGCGAAATTCTTGTAGAATCGTTTCAGTCAAAGAGCATTGAAGGATGTGCAGATGTTAGAAAGCGAAAATCTATTCAATGGAGTATACTTCAACACTATGAAGTTTGCGAAACACCTCTTATTGATTTTACACAATCATTACGAGTAGCATGTTCATTTGCACTATCAAATAAAAATTTAAAGGACGGCTATGTTTATGTTTTTGCATTACCTTATATAACAAATAGAATTTCTGTTAATTCCGAGCAAGATATAATTAATATTAGGTTGTTAAGTATTTGCCCGCCTACAGCAATTAGGCCCTATTTTCAAGAAGGGTATCTTGCCGGGACATCTGATATAACAAACAATTATGAAACGAAGACAGAATTAGATTTCAATCGAAGACTTGTGGCAAAATTCAAAATACCAAATACAAAGGCATTTTGGGGTCAGGATTTCAGTCTAATTCCTAAAGGCTCATTATTCCCTTCTAATGATCCGATCAATGATTTATGTCAAAATTTGAAGAATAATACTCAGAGAGCCCTACGTGCCGGGACTTTGGGAGAATTCTTAAAGTCATGGATCGAACTAGAGCATAAAATATTAGTGGCGGCAAGAGAGTATGGACTAACGACAAATAATATTCGAGATGCTTTACGACTGTTATTTTCAAATAATCGTATTTCTCAAGATCAATTGAACGTTTTTGAAAGATTAAGAAAGTATCGAAATATGGTAGTTCATCAACCAGTGGAAATTCAAGATAATGAAACTCGTAAATATATACAGTTCTTAAATGACTTGATAACTGACTTACCTTTCTAACTGCGTACAGCAGGGGTTCCTGCAAGTGGAGGCTGACGGAAGTGAAATGGTCAGCAGATCATTAATCGGCTTCAACTATTAGGGAGACCGTTTTTCAACCTAGATTAGTTAAGTTTCAAGATCATTCACAAAACATGGGGCAGTGGGTAGATGGAATTTATTAAAAAAATCAACTTCACAAATACATGGCCCTTACTTGTAACCTGAACTAAAAATATCAATAGATAATTATGAACAGACGTGAAACTTTTCGGTTATTAATTTTCACCGCTTTAGGATCGCTTATTCCATCTTCAAAAATTTTTGCACTAAATAATGAAAAAATTAATGAAGAAGACACTATAGCACCAATTGATCCAGTAACTGGAGTTACAATTGGGCTTAGTGCAGCTAAATTATTTATAGGGATGTTTCAAAGTAACAGTGGGCCAACTATT